AAGAGGTCATACATTTGAGTTTAACAAACATATCTGAAGAGGGGAGGGCCAGCTGAATGGTCAAATACCATTGTCATTCACACTGAAATCTCACTGAAAGGGTATTGCCATCTCCTCTCCTACTGGATTAGAGGTGGTTTCCAAATCAGACCCAAGTCTTCTAGGAAGCAAGGGGCAGTAGCGAGAAAGACCTAGGATGAGCATGTGCATGCCCAGGTGTCACAGGTGTCAGAGGGAGAAGGCAGGCATATGCACAAATGCAGCCATTTACCTGGACACACGTCCACGTCTGAAGAGTCAGGCATGAGTAAGGGATGAGTGCTGAAGGGCGTGAGAGGCACGGGCGGAAGCCTGCCTTATGAGTGTGCCTGTACTCATGCTATAAAGAGAGGCAAGAGCCAGCTACGTGACAGAAAATACCCCTCCTAGACACAGGGCAGAATTCCTTCCAGTAATTTTGGTCTAATCTGTAGGGAGAAAACAGAGCTAGCCCCCTGGCCTTCCCGAGCCCTGAAAGCACTGCACGGTTCACTCCAAGACCCGGGGCCCGCATGTCCACAGGAGTCCCCGGTGTGGTCCTTCCTAGAACCTGCCTGCTTCTTCCACTCCTCAGGGAAGACTCCTGAGGTACAGGATGGAGAGAATTCACCACCTTCTCCACCCCGGGTCAGCATGTCTTGATTGGCTGAGTCAGAGGAGGAATGGCGTTCACTCCTAACGTCTCCACACTGCGGGGAGGCACAAAGGCAGGAAAGAGAAAAGAGGAGGAGGGCAGGACTCACCTGCACCAGGGCTGGGGCTCAACCCATTGCTGGAGGGGCTCCTGCTGGCTTGGACAGCCGCTGGTTTGAGGGCGCCATCAGAAGGAGTCCGCCGGTGACCACTGAGATGTGTGGGGGCCGTAAGGGTGACGTGGGTGGGAGTCAGTGATTGGTTAGGGTCTTGCTTGAAGCGCTCCACTCGGACATTGACCAAGGGGTTGTGGGTGCAGGGGGTCAAGGGTGGGGCCTCCACCGGGCTGACAGGCATCTCATACACCACGATCTCATCACTGTCAGAACGCAGTAGGGAGCGGGTGGAGTTGCACTCGGAGATGGAGGAGAGAGAGAGCAGTGTTAGGGAAGCAGAGGGGTCTCCTAGCAACAGCATGGGCTCTTCCTTCTTGAAGAGCTTCCGGGATGGGGGGCTGGTGCTTCGACGAGGACGACTGGCCCTCTGAAAAAGACCCTCACGCCTCTTCTTCTCCTCCCTGGCTGGTGGCTCAGGCTCCTCTGGGGGAAGCAGCTGGCACTTGCCAGCTTCCAGCAGGTCAAACCCTAGGCCTGTGGCTGCAAGAACAGCCCCGCAGCCAAGCAGAGCCACCTCGCAGCGGCGGTGGTGGGTGCCGCCCCGCTTGAGGCTATTGGTTGGCGTCAGCTGAGGGGTACTGGTAGCTGAGTTGACTGGGGTGGGCTCCTCGTGGACTCCATCACTGGAGGGGCCATCCCCATCCTCTCCACGAGGGAATGGGATACAGAGGTAGGACTGGTTGGGTGAATGCTGTAGACGACTCTCCCCACTCCTTGGGCCTTCACTGTCCTCATCCTCTGTAAAGATGAGAGGAACAGACAGGAAATAGGAATAAGCAGCAAAAACAAGATTCTGATCCTCCTCTCCAACTCCAGGCCTCTTGGCTTACAGTCAGGGATGCAGAGGTCAAACAGTCTAATGGGCAGGACAAGGGACTGGGCATTGAACCAATAGGGCTCTATGCATCCTCACTCAACTGTGACCAACATGAGGAAATCACTCTCCACTCCAGAGCCTGTTTCCCTATTTGCAGAAAGGACATCTGCTAATTTGCTACTTCTTTTATAGGATCCCTCAATACAAGAAGTATAGCATGAGTTTCCTGGAACAATGGATAGAACAGAACCATTCCTCATTTTTTGCACCTTAAAATTGGAAGGGACCTTGGATTTCCTGAATGATAGCCTAGAGACTGGTCTTAGGACTAGTTTTCTGGAAAAGGTTAGAATTCCCTACATGGTTAAAGGCCAGTATGCTCTATAGACTGACCGACTACAACTTTGGAAATCTCCAGAGAGAAGAGGACTATCCGAGAGCCTGGAGAAAACCTTACCCATTCAGTAACCATAGGTAACACTGCAAAACTTCCTTAAGTGGAAGACTGTGGCGTCTTCTATCACCATCTCTTGTTTTGTGGATTCCCCACATTAAAATGCCAGGAAACAGACCCAGACAAAGGAAATGCCTCACCCTTCTGCCCTGCCCTAAGAAGACTATACCTGGCCCCTTGGGATAGAAGGCCAAGGACAGGCTCTACAGCAGCAGTAGTAATTTGGGAGGATTCAATGAAATGGGAGTAGGGCAAACTAAGAGGAAATAGGGTGGGGGACCAGGAGTTGAGGAAGAGGAGACAACCCCCATGGTGTAATAATTCTAAACAGTCCTAGAAGGTTGGCCAAGAATTCTCGGAGGGAACGGGGAGAGAGTCAAGACAAGGGCAACGCTTACCCATCTCCATGAGGCTGGTGAACCCTGGCAGAGCTGGGCTACTCCTCGGGCCCTTCCCCAGGTTGGGGGCACTGGATGACCACTGTTTGTATCCATCTACCAGGGACTTGAGGCTAAATGAGGGGAAATGAGGAAACTGGTTACTTTCCTTACTCCACCCTCAGCTGTATGGGCCTGTGGAAATGTCTTTCCCTGTCTGCTTAATCACACTGAAGCCCCAAAGCCTTGGAGTACAGGCAATGAACCTTACTGAGCCCACCTGCTCCATTAACAAAGG